TGGCCTATACCATCAGTGACCAGACCTGGGTTCAACAAGGAGAGCTGACCGACTGCAGAGTCGAACCCCTCCTCCAGGGCACCGACGCAATCTGCCTCGAGGAGCCGGATATGGGCGACCAGCTCCGACCGACTCTTTAACGCCGCTATGTCCTCCGGCTCGTCCTCGGCAGGTTGCATGGCAGCGTTCATTTCCTCGATCTGCTGGGCCAAGCGTCTGACTTCGGTCCCCAGACGATCCCTGTCTGCACGGAGAAGCTCCCCCTCCTCGGCCAATTTCCCCGACTTTTCCTTCTCCAGGGTCAACATCTCCCTCTCAGCATCCAGCATCGCCGTCTGCTCGCGGAACATCTCCTCAGAGCGTTCCAGAGCGGTCTTCAACTTCCGCGAGCTCGAGGTAAGGGCCACCTTCTCCTGCTTGAGTTCTTCGATACGGGCAGGATCCCCTCCTTCCTCGGATAGCACCAAGGCCATCTCGGCCATTTTCACCAGCCCGTCCATGCTGGCGGCCAGATACATCTTCCGATCCTCTTTGCTCATCCTTTTGATAGCTTCAGCCTCGTCGGCGACCACTGTCAGAGGGAATCTCTCGAAAAAGCCCTCCTCTTTGAAGCAAGGGGGGAACGCGAAAGACCTGACAGCACTGGCGTCCTCGCCAACAGTCAGACCACTTTCCACCCGGGTCCTCTTCCTCTGCGTCAGGACGGCACTAGGGTCGACCTCTTCAACTTCTTGGGTCCCATCTGACGCGGCCCCCGAGCTGGGCGGCGAGTCCACCCTCACCGGCTGAGGAGCACTTGGACTGTGTGGCGGGCCCATCCTCGTCGCTTGGGGGGCCTTCACGACCCTCCTGCCTCGCTTCTGGTCGCAGGACAATTTCAGAAGTCTTTCCCGTCGACCGGCCATCGAACCTGCACAGAATAAAAGTTGGGTTAGTATCGAGCAAGCTCATAAATAAATGACGAGCAAAGAAATTCAAGCAATAAACGACCTAGCAGACGGGCAACCTGCCTGTACGTCTGGCACTTCACGAGCGCCTTGGTATCAATCGGCCGGGACTCAAACGTTGGGTAACCCTCTGCGTCCAAGATATCGTCCCCTTCCCTCGTAGCCCACCGAGCAGGGTGGAAGCTATCGACAAACCGACAAAGTGTGGCGTACGCCTCCTCGTCTTCCGAGCACATGTCCCTGGCAGCAGTGTGGTAGTAACCAGTCCCATGCTCGTAGTGCCTGAATATCCAATGCACAGGGAACTTAGCCGTACGGGCCATCACAGGACTCCCATCGTCGCCCAAAACCGCCTCCCCGTCATCATCGCTTAGGGGCTCCTCCTCCTCGTACATGGATCCTAAAGCCGAGGTGGTAACTGGCCGCACAACGTACCACTTGTCTTTAAAACCCCTTACGGAGTCCATATACATTTTGAAGAGTCTCCTCGACTGCTTCAAGGAGACCCAGCTGTGTTTCCCTCCTCGAGACTGGCGCTGCAGATGAAAAATCCGGAAGAAGAGCGGTATGGTCGCCCCGATCCTCAGATAGCGACACGTCAGCTCAAACGCCCGGATGAAGGCGAGTGAGTTTAGATGTAGCTGGGACGGGGCCAACTCCAGGTGAGTGAAGACCCCGACCTGAAAATCAGTGAAGGGCAGCTGCAGCACTAGATCTTTGAACGCGATCTCGTACATCGCAAAGCTATATTCTGGATACACCGAGCAGATCCTTGAACGGGAGGACGGGCGCATGACAACGAAGTTCTTTTGGAAGTCGGGCTGGCCCTGGCCCGCTTCGATGACGGCATATGGATTTCGGTCGCCCCGGCTGTAGATCGACGCGATCCCTCGGGGCTCGACGCCCACCCAATCCAGCAAAGGGTCGGTCACAGTATCAATCAAGCTGACCGACTCATCGGCACTTTGTTCTTCACGATCGTGGCGCCCAGAGGAGCACGGCTCGTCCGCCATGATTACCTGCAGAGCACGGGAAACCAGTCAATTGGGCACGAAGCCATACACTCGACAAACCACGTCGTCCCATGCACGACCACATAGTCAGTTTACACGAATGGTTGCCTCCCCGACATCCTGAAACTCGATGTGTTCTTCCTCGAACCAACTACACGGCCACTCTCCAACATGTCGACCCAAGGTATGAGCATGGCGAGCCACATCATGAGGCCCACGGCCAAGACCATGAACATACCGGGCGCGATCATGAAACAGGCGCCCTGGATCATGAAGACCCCGGGCAGCGCTGAAGTTTATCACCTAAAACTATGAATATGCCGACCACAAACATGCGTTTGCCGGTCCTATGCATGAATATGTCGGGCTAAGTATGAGTTTACCGAGCTAATCCCACGCGCACAGTCCCTAAAACATCTACAAACGCCAAAAATCATGCATTTTAACAGGAAAATGAAGAAGATAAACCACTTACTTGAATCAAAAAGTAGGATTCGGCTACGGAGTAGAAGAATCTGTGACAGAAGATTGCGACTGGGAAAAATCTGGAAGAGCAATAGCAGAGAGAGCACAAAGAGTAGAAACGTGTTATGGGGCCCAAGGTTCCTATTTATAGTGATGACGTGGAATACCAAACGTCACCTCGGGCAACCACGAAGTCTCTCTCCCCGACGCGCTGCTCCCAACGCAATGATGACCCTATCCCCATAGGGTGGCGACACAGTTCCCGAAAGATACCTTGTATGCTCGACAAACGCGCCCCGGTGAGGATCCTCCAGGCATCCACCGCGGAAGATGTCTCCGAGCACGGCACGAGGAGGCCCTCGAGGGCCTACACCTCAGTCCCGGGCACGAGACCTCGATGAGGAAACGACCTGAGTTCAAGCCATGGCTCCTCACAAAGGAACCACGACTTGAGGGGCTCCTGTTCTGGACTGGGCCCGACAGGCCCAAAAGCATTGCAAAGGCCCAGTCCAAATGGACTTACAAGGGCCACGCCGACCAAAGAGTACGACCGTGCCCGACGCGTAGTCGCAGGCTCGACAGTACACCTCCAGCTCGACATGCTGTGGTCCAGCACCACATTCTGAGGTCCAGCTCGGCGTTACCTCGAGCACCCCAGCTAGGGCAGACTCAGTCCACTGTTCCCCCAACGATACTCCGAAAAGACCTCGTCTCTGTCCGCCTGCACTTCACGCAGAACATCCAGGAAGGGGACCACGTGCGGGTCCCCACTACGCACGTAGAACCTGGCAGTTCCTCCATTGGGCCAAACCTGCCCGGCCCAATGAAGGAACCTTGGCCCAGCGCTGGGGGCTATAAATACCCTCTGTTTCCAGAGGGTCAGGTATTCATCATTCTAACCTTACACTTACTACTATCTGCTCGTACTCCTACTTACTTCAGCATCGGAGTGCTTTGCAGCTACCCCCCCACTTCGTTCAAAAAGCTTTCTGCTCGGAGCCAGCCGTGACGGTCCATTTCTGATCAGGTCAGATCAGATTCAAAGTCAACTTTTGACTCTGACTCATAATCAGTCTCCTTCAGAATCTACTTCAGAATCAGAAAACGTCAATGACACAAGTTTCTCATCAGATTCATAAGCCATTAATAACACAAGTTCATCATTAAAATCTCCTCTGATCATGTTTGCTTCTTCTAACTTTCATTTCTTGTTTGACCAACAATCTTTAGCAAAGTGGTCAAACATATTACAACAGTAACACTTATCCATTCTCTTGTCAAGCTTCTTATTTTCTTTATGATGTTTCTTCTCATAAGAGTAAGAGGCTTTTGACTTCTGAGAACTACCACATCTCTTTTGGGTCTCTGACCAAGATTGCTTCTAATACTTCTTACCATAAGACACTTTTAGAGCCTACTATACCTCTCTCTCAGAGGTTCTCTCAGTCAGACATAACTCTTGTGCCTCTAGACTACGTTACAAACTTGTTTAACAATTGCAACAAAATGGTTGAGAAAGAAACTCTATTAACAATTGCATTATAAAATCCTAGTTACAAATATGTTTAAATACACAAAATAAATTGACACGTAATCACAAAAAATATACTTAATAGCTAAACTAACAACTAAGAGTAGCTTCTAGAAAATATTTAACTACTGTTTTTAACTAAATAGTCTCAAAAACTAATAATTTCTGCCTAACACATTCAGAAGATACTGCTTCTGATTGTATCAACAACTTTTGAGTATGAATTATTTTAATAAGATTAAAAACTATAATTTACATAGTAAAAAATTGATATAAAAAATTGATTAAATTGATTTGGACTATTTTTTCAAATAGCCATAAAAATTAAATCAAAGCGCATGTAATTTTATTTTTGAATTGGATAAATTTATGTTTTAAAATTGATGTAAACCACGCGATAATCTCCTCTAGCAATGATACCTTTTTAAAATAAATACATTTTACCCTAAATAAATTCAAACCTTTGCAAATTTGACACATATCTACCTTAAATGGTAGTGAATACATACAACATATCATGAACAATCCATCTCAAATAATTTAAAATAATAATAATATTAATTGAATTTGATTTTTAAGATTTTAGGAATATCGAATACATAGAAAATCTTTATCCAGTTGGTAATAAATTTGACAGTATTGATTATTTGTCCTAACAAATCTAATGACTAATATATACTACTTCTATCCTTAATTATAAGACTTTCTTGAATTTTTTTTCCTTATTCTTTTTATAAGACATATTTTAACCTTTAAAATATATTAATTATTTTTTTCAAACATATATCCTTAATTATATTATATATTTTCCATTTGAACTTTACAAAAATATCCATCAAAATAATAATTTTAATAAAAACTTTACTAAAATACATAATATCGATCCCGCTACTTTTTTTTACCTAGAAAAACAAAATGACATTTCATTGATTACCATATCATTTGAAAAATCTTTACGTTAATCACGAACCATCATAAATAAACCAATCACTCTCTGAAACAACACACACAACACAAACTCAATTTTCCATTGTCATTTTCAAGATGCAGGAACCTAACCCTAACCCTAGCCCTAGCCCTTCAAAGGACTCAACTTCCAATCCTAAAAGTTCAAGGGAAGAAGAAAGCAGCCTGAAAACCGCTCATGAAGTGTTGACTGAGTTTAGCGCGGGTGATAAGGATACCGGTCGTGGCGGCCGTGAAGATTGGAGGGTGGATGAGAATGGTGATGGAGTGAGTGAAGGTCAAGCTTTGAAGAAGAGAAAGAATAATGAAGAGAAAGAGAATCCTTCTGAAAATCGAGTTTGTCCTAAATGTAAAAAAGAGTTTCCTACGTGGGAGACTACGATTGGCCACATGCAAGAACACCCTAGTTATACTTCTATTGGTTCTTCTTCAGCACTTGTCAACCTACATCAATTCGATCTAAATAAGGGTAAAACTATAACCTTTTTTCTTAACACAATATTTTTAAATTATTATTATTATTGTTATGTCTTATTTTTATTATACATTGCTTTTGATTTTCCCCCTAAGCATTTGATATCTTATATCTATTTTATTTAATTTAGTTACACTTTCACATAATTATAACTATCTGAAATTGTACGTATGAGTGATTGCAGTTTGCTGCTTTAAAAAATTTATAGCAACATTGTGTGAAAATACATCTAGTTTTTATCTTTATTTTTTCATTTCAAAGTACTTGTACATATACATCTTTATGAAATCTAATTCATGTAGGCATCTAGTAAGTCCTATCCAATTTTGATAATTTGAGGAAGTACTCAAAAAAATATATTACAATGAAAAACATTTTTAATCTTAATACTGATCATCTTAATAATATATATACCATGTATTTTGAAGAGCTCTTTACTCTTTATTATATATATATATGATAAATATTTTATTTAATAGGAAATATTAACATTAAATTATGCAAATGATATGATGTAATTATTTAAACAAAAAACTAATGATCTTAATAATATAATTGTAAAAAAAATCATCTTAGTAGTATAAACATATTAAAAAAAATGATGGATTATGTGTGTGTAGGTGTTTGATGATTTGAATGTTTTTATTTTGTTACTAGTTGATGTTGCACTTGAGTCCGCTGAAGAAAAGGAATATGAGAGCAAAGATTTAAGATTTGACTTGAATCAGTTGCCTCGTAATGAAGAAGATGATGTAATGTAACAAATATGTTGCTAGTTCTAATGAAGAAGATGATGTAATGTAACAAATATGTTGCTAGTTCAAATTCTTATGTTTTTAAGTTTTTTTGTTTGCATTACGGGTTTTGGATTTGAGTACTATAATTTTTTTTAATGATAAATTAATATATAGACACATAAAAAAGTTAAAAATGAATTTACGACAGCGGAATATACACCATGCTAATCGATACGTCTTTATACCGAAGATCCCAAATCAATGAAGAGGTGAATTAAACGAGAGAAATGTGTTAGACACCCTCACCTTTCTTATACTTAAGAAAAATCTTCTCTAATCTTAAAATTACTATGTGGGTTTAGTCATTTCTTGTTTATTCTGTATTTAAATATTTATATACAAGAGGAAAAAGTTGATTAGGATTAGTTGTTAGTGGATTGATATAAGGTCACAGCGATAGAAATATATTCTTAATTTTTTCACAGAGAGACTTAGACTTGTTTCTTGTTTGTATTTAAAGGATCAGATCAATTCTTTTTTGAAAATATCTTAGATCTGAATTAAGTTAGATGAAAAAAAGAGAAATTTGATTGATTAAATAAATTTGTTTTTAGTTTATGATTAATTGGAAAATGAATCTAACCAAGATAAAAGGGAATGTTTTTTTTTTTTTTTTTTTTTTTATTTTTTTATTTTTATATTTTTGGTTAATTAAAAAACTAAAAAAAAGGTGTTTTTGTATTTTTTTTAATAATGAAATAAATTAGATGAGTTAGTTAAATGAAATTAGACCACTAAACCTAATGCAACTTGTATACACATATAAATACACAATGATGAGTAAATGGATGTAAACTTTTTCTTAACTTAGAATATAAAAGAATTTTTGCTTTTCTAACTTCTAAATTATCATGTGTTAAATAAAATGGTTATTTTAGTATAAAAATAAAAAAAAAAGGATTGGTGGTGGTGGTTATGACAATGAGAGTCTATGTTTTTTTTTTAATTTAGCTTGGTATGTTTGAATTGCGGGTGATGATTAGAGTTTACTGTGATAAAAACATGGTCAAAGGTTCATGGTTTGGTTGTGTACGTGGAAAAAATGAATGAAATACTGTTACACGTGAGATAGATGAAAGAAAAATGTTGACTTTTCTCCTTTGACTCAAGAGAACAAAAAGAGGTTTTTTATACATATGAAAAAAGACTTTGTGTGTAAGAATTGGGTTTTCTGAATGTTCTGTGGATGAGTCTTTTTATCATATGAATGAGAGTGGATTTCTTTGTCAAAAAGTGTGTGGGATAGTGTTATAAATTATGTGGAAATATTATAATAGCTTTGGGAAGGAAAATGTTTAAACAAAATAAAGGTTTGAAAGAACAACTATACGTGTTTTTTCTAATGTTCTTCAAATAACCAAATGATAATTTTAGAAAAAAAATATAGAATAAATTTGAAGAAAGGACCATCAGAAAGTCTTCGTCATATGGTGTGAAAAAAAGATTAAAGTAAAAGAGTAAAAATAAAGATTTTTGAAAAATAAGGTTTTTCGTATGTGTGTGGAATTGTGGAATTTGTGTATCTCGTGGATGTGAAAGTGTGTGAAAAAATTTGAAAAATAGTGAGAAGGTGAATTGTTGATTTGTGAATATTGTGGATGAATAAAATTGAGAAAATAGAGGGTTATTTTATATATAGGTGTGAGAAATTAGGTTAAGACACCAAAAAAGAAAATAAATTGAATCAAATAATACCCAATATTGAAGTCGAAATGAGACATTATCTGATTTCATCTTGATCAGCAATATTAAGAAGTTGAACCTATTTGTGACTCCATGCAAGATACGATTTGAAAAAGATTTGATTTGAAAAAGATTTTATTTAGTTTTGAGTTTTTCGACTATTCTTTGCATAAAATAATGATTTTATTAAAAAATAATATTTTTAAAATATAATAAATAAAAGAAAAAGAAAATAGTAATTAAATAATGAAAAAAAATGATTTATGTGATTTTGAAAAATGGAAATAAAGTTAGTAACAATTAAAAGAAAGAAAAAGTTAAATGTGGAACAAGTGAGATTCAAATCTATGACCTTATAATTGCAAGTCTTAGCTCCTTATCAATTGTGTTATTTGATTTACTTGAAATAAAAAGGAACCTGAAAGCATATGAAGGGTGGGAAAATATTTACTATTTAAGAAATAGAAATAATTTGAAGTAAACTATTATATATTTTTAAATAGCAAAATAAATTAAAAATAAATATCTATAAAATGCAAAATATTAGTGTAAATAAACCAAGTTTGAAAATAATTTGATTGTAGAAAATAAGGCGGGAACATTTGGAGTATGATAGTTTCCCCTATTTAATTACTTTTCGACTGAAGGGTGCGAGAATACGAACTTCTCGTGCGTTCAGATCAGAGGGTAATTAAATAATGGAAGACTCCATAATTTGACAAAAGTCTCTTTTTTTTAAAACATTTGAAAAATAGTTTGAAAGAAAATACAACAAGTAAAAACGTGAAAAATGGCAAGGATGACGCAGATAACTAATCAATGTCCGGAGCGTGGATTAACATATCTATCTTTGCTAAGAGACTGATCAGATAAATATGAGAAAATACGCTTGTGATAGCTTGTTACTGCTTTGGAACTAATGCAATAAGTTATATCGCAGTTTTTGCATGCTTATGACTATTTAGGTGATAAACAATGCATGTATCAACTCCATCTTTTCCACGAGACTGATCAGATGGTGTTGAAAGTTTGAATAACTTATTATTTCTCGGAGACTAATATAACAAGTTACATCATAGATTTTGCATATTTACCACAACCTAATGGGTAAACAATGTGGGTATCAAATCTATCTTTGCCGCGGGACTGATCAGATATAATCGAAAGTTTGAAAATAATTTATTACCGCTCGGGAACTAATATAACAAGTTATATAGGAGTTTTGCATATTTACAAAACCTAGGGGGTAAACAATGCGGGTATCAACTCTATCTTTACCCCGGGACTGATCAGATAGAATCAAAAGTTTGAAAATAATTTATTACCGCTTAAGGACTAATATAACAAGTTATATCATAAATTTAGCATATTTACTACAACCTAGGGGTAAACAATGTAGGTATTAACTCTATCTTAATTGCTGGACTGATCAGATAGAATCAAAAGTTTGAAAGTAACTTATTACCGCTCGGGGACTAATATAACAAGTTATATAGTAGATTTTGCATATTTACCACAACCTAGAGAGTAAATAATGCAGGTTTGATTTGAAATTGAAAAGTTTGAATTTGATCATATGAATTTGATAATTGAAATTTGATAACTGGAATTTGATAATTAAAATTTGATAACTGGAACTTGATAGTTGAAATTTGATAACTGGAACTTGATAATTTAAATTTGATAACTGGAACTTAATAATTGAAATTTGAATTTTGAATAGTGTGCAATAGGTTGATGATGACTAGGCTTTAGATATGAATCGTAGGTATACTGTCTGGTGTAACTTTGATTTTGATACCTCTAAATGTTATCTCTGTTATTAACCAAGGTATCTATTGTAATGGTGTAAACAATGCTAAAATTTGAATTTATGATTTGTGCAGGTAACTTAGCTGGTAAATAGGCCTTGAGATTTTTTTGAAGTGTTCATAGGCCTGCATGATTGAATACAATACATATTTATAATGACTATGCTTTGATATGGTTATGGTTAATGTATGTGTTAATGCATGGTATGTTTTTGTAATGTATGCTTGATGATAATGTTATGAGTGAAGTGATATGATTAATGAATGGCGATGACTTATGCGATGATTGATCAATGCAATGCACATGTTATTTGAACAACTGACTTAAAGGTAGGCTACCAGACGAGAACTAGATTTTGAAATGATTTTCCAGACGAGAACTGAGCTTTGAAATTATTTTCCAGACGAGAGTGAACTTTGAAATGATTGGCTAAATGGGAAACAAGTTTTAAAATGATTTGTCAGATGGGAACTGGGCTTTGAAATGACTGTCAAATAAGGACTGACTACCAGACGGGAACAAATGATAATGTGTTAGGCGAGAAACGACTACCAGACAAGAACTGGTGAAAAATATAATGTGTCAAACGAGAACTGACTACCATACGGGAACTGGATTTGACTTAGTGTTGACGATAATCGATCTAGCTATGCATGGTAGTTGAATGAGATTTTTTTTTCAATGCATGAAGTGTGATGATTGATGCATGCAATATGATATTCTTGGGTTGTTCCACTAAAGATTGGGCCTTTTGGGATTTTGATATGTTCCAAATGACGTTGGATTCTCTGACCATGCTTGGGTTACAAGGCTTTGTATGATTGGTGCTATGGGAATATGATAGATGAATGAGATGATATGTACGTCTCGATGCTAGAGCGAAGCGACCTAATGAATGCATGAAAATGACTTAAGATGACTTGGATGTTTTTGAATGGTTCCCCTATGAATGGTCGTTGATATTTAAGGCGTATAAATGTACTTTATGTAACAAGACTGCTTGTCACTCAATGGCAAGGTGTTATGCTAGCATGACTTCCCAACACTTGTTTTGAACTTGAAAATTACTGATATGGGAGATATCTTCACCGAGGATCATTAAAGTAGGAGGAGAGCTTTCCCCTTCGTGGCATGTCTTGCCTCAGTCCATTGGGTATTTGAAGAGATTCATCTTAATATGAGTTTTGAAACAATTCGACTGCACTTAAGCACTTGAGATAAATGAACCCATTATTTTGACCAGTCTTCCCCTTAGAGAGATTCGTCCTTGATTAGTTTGCTCTTGGAAGGATTTACCCTACTGAACCGTTTTTTCTTCTAATTTAAGAGTCTCTCAACGGTCTGTCCTAACATTTGAATTTTGAAAGGTATGCCTCAATCTTCAGGATCTAGAGGAAGTATCTTTAGAAGGAACTTGGATCTCACCATGATGTGATATAAATTTGATATGGAATGTCCCTAGTATCTAA